TGATCATCTCATTTATTTAGGGAAAGGTGGGGGCTTGGCATTGGAGTAGAAGAAAGAAGGCAGCTTCTACAAATGAGGGAATGTCTAGCCAGAATGCTCCAAATAATTTTCGTCTGTCACTGTCACCTACATGAATTTGGCTTCGGCTTTCAACCAGGAGCCTAGTCACGTGCCCAAGATCTGCCTTGACCTGGAGTGCCAAAGGTGCCCTTAATGCGAATGTATTTTTCCAGAAAACACACTTCAGCCAAGCTAAGAATCCAGGAACACCACTAGGGAGGAAACAAAGACATCTCTGAAGCCATTTGAAGGTAAAAAAGAATTCTGTAGGAAGTACAATGATCTTAATTAAATATTAGCCATAATTAGCCCAAAGTGCAAATGTTGGGAATATTAATAGGGTCTCTCTGGAACAGTTGTCAGTGTTAATAAGTAACTGTGGGGGGTCCCACTAACATCTGTTTGAGGACTTCAGAGCAGGAGTGCCGTCCGGAGCCTCGTGGACTTGAACGCTACCTGTGGGCTCCTTGGTGACCATGGACACACTCCCTAGAGCTTGGTGCCCTGGGTTTGCCAGAATGACACAAGGTTTGGGTGGTTTGTCCCCAGTTGGCCCTTGCCTTTCCTAGGACAGCCTCAGAACCTTGTAACGCTAGACCCTGGGCTTCAGATGGCACAAATTTTCCAGGCTGTGGCTTTAACATGCACCAGAGGCTTGTCTGGCAAATGGAACACTGGTATTTCTGTATCAAGTACCCCAGCACCTGACTCCCCATAGGGTGTAACACACCACCAGGTGGGTAGCAGGTCCTGAGGCCATGGTGTATGTATAACCAAGAGAGGTTTGTTTATTTCAAAACGGGAACAAACCTTTCCACCAGGTGATAGTCTTTCGAGGTCAGAGACACCTGGGCGTCCATTCGGCTCCTGGCTTCCCTAAGAGCTACTTGTTGCTGTGACCTTGCACAATCATTTCCTAGTTCTGGACTGCATTCTCCTTCACAGCAAAGGAACATGGAATGAAAGAGGCACTGCATGCAAAGCAGGGATCCTAGGTCTTGGGAGATTAACATTTGGGGCTAGGTAATCCTTTGTGCAATGCACTGTCCCATGCATTGTAGTGTGTTTAGCACCATCCCTGGCCTCTCCCGACTAGATGTGAGCAGCAATGCTCGCCCCCCCCAACTGGGAATAACCAAAAGTGTCTGCACACATTGTCAGATGTCCCAGGGAGCAGTCACCCTGTGTAAGAAGTACTGATGCCAAGCCCCAGCACAATGCCTGGTACCTTCTAGGCCTGAGAAGAAAGCATCCCTCAGGGTGCCTTCTGAGCACTAGTAAGAAGAAGAGATCCCTTTCACATGAGCACAGAAGCCTGAGGTCGTCATTGATCTTCCTCTCGGCAGCCCACTGTGCTGAGTCTGAAGCCTGTGTGTGCACATGTGTGCTTATAGCGCAGAGGTACAAAGATGGAAGGCACACTCTGAAGAAGACTTCTCCATTGGGCACCATCCTCGGCACCACCCATCCACAACTCTGGCTGAGCTTTCCCCCTTGGTTTAGGGAGAATGCACCCCCCCTTTCTCTCTCTTCCGGTTTTACTGCCAACTTTATTTCCTGCCCAAACTTACCATTACTTCCGCAACAGTGGCTTCTTACTTGATGTCCCCATATTTAGTGATAACTTTGCCACCTTGATGTAAAAACTTTTTCCGCAAAGGGCCAATATGGTTAAATAGTTTAGATTTTGTGGGTCTCTCACAACTACTCAACTCTGTCATTATAGCACGATGAGCATGGCTGTGTCTCAACAAAACTTTATTTACAAAACAACCAGTGGGCCAGATTTGTCCCATGGATCATTTGCCAACCCCTCTTCTATCCCCTCACCCCACCACCCTATGTCCTGTTGTCAGGTTAAGCTTCTCAGAGCCCAGAATTCATTATTCAAGCATGCATTCACTTAGTAAGTACTAATAAATGCCTGCTTTGCAGCTAGCATGCCATGGGACAATGGAAATGGAATGGAGAATGTGACACAGTCCCCAGCCCTGAGGACTCTCCCAGACAAATAAGCAGGCAGTGGCAGCACTAGGAATTATGTGAGATGTGGCTGCAAGCTACAGTGGAGCATAAGTGGGCTCAGTGTCAAGGAAGGCTTGCTGGAGGACTTGGCCTGGGACCTGAAAGGACATTCAAGACTAGCCAGGCAAGGGAGTAGGGAGGGTTTTCCAAGCAGAGGGGCAGCGAATGGGTAGATTTGATGGATGTGGAGAGTATGGAGTGACTGTTGGCTTCCTGAGGGCAGGCCTTTCTCCTTCTGATTCAGAGAGAGCTCAGATCCCAACAGAAAGCCCTTGCAGTTTTTTGGGAACCTGTGGGGGAGAGATCACTCTTCCTGAGACTGCTCTGCTATGTGGAAAGGCCTATGTGTCCCCATAAAAGTGTTTTCTGCTAGAGGCAGAGGGGAGGAAACCTTTTTCCTTGTGTGAGCATCTCTCTGCTGTTGCTTGTGGGATCATTTCATGCTCCCCTATGGGGCCACACCTGGAGTTTTCACTAGCCTCTCTTTCAATTCAAAGAAGCAGCAGATTGAAGGGAAGGGGGGCTGAAACAGACCTTTGGGCAGAAGTAGAATCTGGCACAACGAATTTCCCTTTGGAGGGTTCTCAAGATCCCAAACTTCTCATCGGCCAGAAAAAAGTGGTTCCGCATGGAATTTGCATTCAGAGAGCTATGTTCCTTGAGCAGCCCTGTGGAAGAGAAGGATGCTAGTTGGCTTATAAATGGGAGAGGATATTTCTGTTCTTATTAGTCCAGACTCTTTTGGTTGTAAGTAACAGAAAATAAAACTATCTTACCCAAAAGGAGGCATTTACTGACTCATGAAACTGAAGCAAACAGTGGTGTTATTAACTGCAGGTAAAGCTGGATCCAAGGCTTCACGTGATGTCACCGGGACTCAGTTGACCTGTTTCTCACTTTCTGGGCTCTGTTTTCCCCTTGGTTGGCTTCTGCTTTAGGTGGGTCCTTTTCAAGTGGCAGTTGTTGGCAGATCTAGGGTGGCATTATTTTTACAGGGGCCAATCCCAGAGGAAGGAGAACTTCTTCCCCAAACTCCAGGAACCTTGCCTCCTTGGCATTGCTAGAGGTGAACTCACTAACTGGCTTAGATGGATGGGCGTGAATCCATGTCCCTGTGACTGTGACTCTGGAACCCTCTGAATAGCCAGGGTCATGTGACTGTGTCTGGAGGTAAGCTGCGGCAGGGCTCAGCGCCATCTGCACTCTGTGGGCTGAGAGTGAACGAGTCCCCTAAAAGGAAACCAGGACTTATTCTAGACAAAAAGACCGATGCACACGAAGCAGCAGCGATAATGTGGCTTCCCAAGGATGGTCAGGGTTAACTTTCCACGTGCAGGGATCCAACCACAGCGCAGACAGACCCTGCACAGCCCCAAACTCGAGGAAAAGACGTTAGACAGAAAGTAAGCAATGGTTGTGCATTTCTGCTTCCAATGCACAGACATTTGGAGACATTCGTCTGGGGGAGGAAAGGGCATGATGGGAATGTTTTCACTTGTAAAATGTTTTAAACTTATCCTAAGCTTAGTTCTCTTCAAAGTGTCATCTTTAACATTCTAATTAAGGTCCCCTCTAAACAAATGCACAAGCTCTGTGCACGGCTCCGAGAATAAACTTTTTTTCGGGGGGGGTCCCTTCTCTGTCATAATGTTTTTGCTGCACTCAAGTTGCTTTAGCTGGAGAGGCTCCTGAATGTTGGTGGCAGGGACCGAGGAGATGTGAGCAATTCTGATATTTTTGCCCTGGTATCATTCTATGAGGGCTGAAGTCACATCTAATTGACCATGGACAATGGGAGAGGCAGCTCTGTGGTGTGCTTAATTGCTAAGCTTCTCTGTCTCTCTCTGACTGATCTCTTTTCCATGATCTCATGAGATCATGAAAAATTTGGGCCTCTGGGTTACAGTTTCTGGTGCAGTGTGCATGTGTCAGCATGCCTGTGTGTATGTGTGTGTGTGTGTGTGTGTGTGTGTGTGTGTGGTGTGTGTGTAGGGTAGTAGAGTTATGAGGGTCTGGGTCGGGTTAGAGAGAGATAGATGTTTCCTGAAATGGAAGCATTTGAATTCAGGGTTTTTTTTAAATCTTTTGACTGGACTGTAATGATCACACTGCATGTTTTGCCTAGATTGGAAGGGTGAATTGTTATATAATACTCTGTGCTTATAAAAAATAAGGCAGGGGGCGGGGGAGGCATTGACTAATGAGGTTAAGTCCAGCATTTTGTAAAGATACTTAAAATGGTGAACACAGTATCACAGAGTGCCATCTTTGTCCAAATTAGGTCTTGAATGTCCATTGGCTGCTTCATATTGGCGCTGGGAACATCACACACACACACACACACACACACACACACACACACACACACACACACACACCATGACCATTAAAAGGACTTCCCCCATCCCATTATGTGAGCCAAGTCACATAAAACTTTGATTAAATTCAAATGCTTAGATGAATTGTCTCTCCTCTCAAGAACACACACGTTCAATTTAATCTCTCTTGGCATTTTAAGTATCAAATCAAGGCTCTGCTATCTCTGAAAACTATATGCTCAAATGTTCCAAAATGGGAACGAAATAAGGAGGATCTGCCAGAAAAATCGAATCGGGCAGAGCACAGAACCTCCGTCTTTGGCTATGGGGCTGGAAGGTATGGGGAAAGTGACTGCATCTTGCTGAGCCTCGATTTCTGCATCCGCGCAATGGGGTTATGTCTGTATACATGCTGAGCACTATTTCCTTATCGAGTCTGGGGAAGACGAAGTGGGATGCATTCATCTCGGGCTCTTGGCATAGTGCTGGCCCCTGCAGTGTTGGGGGGAGCAGTAGTCCTTGGGCCTCAGGGAAGGGGTCTGCCTGGTGCCCTCTCACGGTGTTCTCACCCTCTCTCCCCCTGTCTGATTTTTTTAGGGTAATCAGGAAGCAGCAGCTGCCCCGGACACAATGGCTCAGCCTTACGCTTCGGCCCAGTTTGCTCCCCCTCAGAACGGCATCCCCGCGGAATACACGGCCCCTCATCCCCACCCCGCGCCAGAGTACACGGGCCAGACGACCGTCCCCGAGCACACGTTAAACCTGTACCCTCCCGCCCAGACGCACTCGGAGCAGAGCGCAGCGGACACCAGCGCGCAGACAGTGTCGGGCACCGCCACAGTAAGTGGGCGCGCGTCCTGGGTAGGCGGGTCGGTGGGGGTGACGACGGCGCGCACGCCACCCGCCGGGGGCTACCACGGCGGAGCAGTCCCTGAGGCCCACCCTCTTGCAGCAGCTCGCAGTTCCCCTATCTAGAGGCCTCCTCTCCTATTACTTACTTAAATCAACACATTTTTCCTTAACTGCTTTTATTCCTAAAGGGAAACCTTCATCTAATTTCTGTTCCTATTGCATTGCCTTTTCTGGAATGATGTCCCCTTGGTAGAATCATACACTATGTAACTTTAACAGCTTTATGGAGATATAATTTGTATACCAGAAATTTGCCTATTGTTGGTGTACAATTCACTGATTTCTAATATATTTGCAGACTTGTGCAACCAGTGGCACAATCTCATTTTGGAATATTTCCACCACCCAGAAAGAAACCTCATGCCCCTTTGCAGCTCCTCCCCATCCCAACACCTGTCTTCTTCAGCTTCTTCAGCCTCCTTCAGGCCTTTGCGATTTACCTGTGTTGTTCTGTGTTTTGTGTGAGCCATAGGGTGGAGGAGGCCTGGGCTGCAAAGGGGCAGCACCAGAGAATTTTGCAGGGTCATGGAATGTTACGTATTTTGATGGTGGCTGTTCACTTTATGCACCAAAAAAAGTACATCTTACTGCATGTGAATGCATTCAGTGGATTAAAAACAAGCAAACAAACAAAAAAGAAACATTTTATCTCCACCATAAATTAAAAACTAGCATTGTTGGCTATTAATCAAAGATAAGCCTAAATAAAAATAATTATTAAAATTAAACACTTGTTCGTTTGTGCATGACCTAAAATAACCACAAGACGTATATGTTCATTTGAGAAACCTTGTTCTGTGGGATTCTTTAGAAGCCTGGGCATGCCAAGCCACTAGGATAGAACATTTCATAGGTAGAAGGCAATTGTGCCTCTTTCTCCTGCCCCTAGACCTCTGGAAAACCAGTATTTGTGAGGAAATTTCTTAGTTTGCAGCAGGAGATTATTTTTTGGCCCTCAAAGTAACCATTTACTACTTTGCTACCTGGTACTTCATTTCGAGGCCAGATACAGAGATTTTTGAAAAATACTATACATTCTAACATGGTCTATTGCCTGCCTCCCCTTTTTTATTGTGGTAAAATATGTGTATGACATGGAATTTACCATTTTAACTATTTTAATACATATAATTCAATGGGGTTGAGAACATTCACAGTTCAGTGCAACCATCACCATATCTAGTTCCAGAACATTTTCATCAGCCCAGAAGGAAACCCCATACCTGTTACAGATACACTCCCCATTCCTACAAATGTGCTTTCTGTCTGTATGGATTGGCCCATTCTAGATATTTCATAAAAACAGAATCATCCAATATATGACCTTTGGTTCTGGCTTCTTTCACTTAGTAGAATGTTTTCAGGGTTTATCCACACTGTAGCATGTATCAGTACTTTGTTCCTCTTTATGACTGAATACTATTCCATTGTATGGTTATGCCACTTGTTTGTCTATTCACTGATGAGCATTTGAGTTGTTTCCATCTTTGGGTTTTTGTGAATAGTGCTATTTCCTGTTTTTATCTGGCTGTTCAGACTTAGACAAGTTTATTAAATGTATTTGCTGGTCTAGCAGGTGTCTGTTATCAGCTGTGTTAACTACCAGGTTGGTGTTTATTTGGTTTTGGTTATTTTATGACAGTCAATGTTAGTAGGGCTTCAGAAGGTTATTTTAGGACTGAAAAAGACATGTAATAATGTCCAACCAGACATCATGTATTAAGCCTCAATACGTGCCTACTATATTAACCTGCTGTGGAAGATCCATTGTTCATACATATTTTTAAGCCTCTCCTGTGGCTAGGACTCATACTAGGTGACGTGGCTGAACTGAGCAGAAATGATCCTTTCCCTCTTATAACTTAGTGTGAGAGTCATAGAGTGAGCATGTGTCGATCAAACAGCTGTATAAACACAAACTGTGATAGGTGCTCTTAAGGAAAAGACAGGTGCCATGGAGGATTAAGAAGAGCAGGGGTACTGCCTGCAGATGAGTAGTCTGGGACTCTTTCTTGAAGAAGATGATATTTAAGATGAGAAGATAAGCTTTCCAGGCAGAAGGAATACCAAGGTCAAGGTCCCAAGGTTGAAAAGATCTTGACTTGTTCAAAAAACTAGAAAGAGGCCAGTATGTCCAGGGCATGTGAAGAAAGTCCAGGGGTATGGTGGGAAAGGATGAAATGGGAACAGTCACCAGGGATCATATCCCACGGGCCTGGTGGATTTGATAAATGGGTGGAATTCCACATTAGGAGCAATAGGAATCCATTGAAAAAGTTTAAGCCGGAAGAGTTAGAAAGGGAAATCTTAAAAGGAAGGGTTAACGACGCATACCTAAAAGGAGATCTGACTCCATTCGAGAAGTTGTGATGCTCAACATCCTTCTCTCACAAAAAGAACTCTTTAGAGATCAACACAAATTTAAACAGGGTGTTGGGTGTCCACAGCGCCTCAGGCACTGCAGTGCCATGAAATGGTGAGCACACATGCTCTCTTACCTTAGAGAGATTTTTGGTCTGCTAGAGAATATAGGATATGTATTCTATTATGATTGTAATGTGATAAGCTCTAGAGCATGGATTTTTAAGGCTTTAATGTGTTTCAATGATGGAAGAAACACTTGCTAAAGGATGCGCCTCAACACCCTGGTTGAGGGGATATACATTTCATAGTCTTCTGGTTGCTGCTGGTAACAGAAAATTCAGCAGGAAATGCACTGGCTTATACAACAAAAAGTCTCAAAGGACGGCTGACTTTAGACACAACTTGGTGGTTGGCATACATGTGTTGGGTTCCAACAAGATCCACCTCTGGCTCTTCCACTTGCTCACCTTTATTCTCTAGTTTTGTATGATGGTCCCGGCAAGTTCAGGCTGCTGATATCATACCAGATTCCTAGGGAAAGACTCTTGGATTAATCCATGCAGACAAGCCCTGGGAACCACCCTCTTTCCCTGGTTTGCATTGTATTCTATCTGTTCAGTGGCTGAAGCTGAGAATGGGTGCCTCAGCCCTGGAGCCACTGAGGAGCTCCATATCCAAATATAGAGACCAAGCATGGGTCCACTGGAGTCAATGATAAGGTGCTTAGGATCTTCTCACTAACAGTATTAAACATATAGAAACTGGTCAGAACTAAAGGTGAGCCATTTGTATAGAGAATCTTGAACAGATACATTTGCCAAGCATCAGGAATGGAGAGAAGTACAGGTAGATCATTGGAAAACTCACAGGTGACAAGGTTTGGAAGGCAAGGAGCTACTGAGTGAGACATGAATGGGGTCTCCAGACTGGAGGTTGAACCAGAAGAGTGTTGTCAGGGCTGCCTGGCAGGTGTGAACTCAGAAGACATTATTGAAGCTGACGTCGCTGGAGACAGGGAGAAAGCAGTGCACTAGAATGTTGAGGAGAGATACCAGGGGGCCAGGACTTGAGAAGTAAATGGGAATGGTTGGGTTAGAGCGCACTACCCATCATGAGCACTTGCAGTCAAGAGAAAGAAAAGATAGTAACTGAGGAGCATGAGAGTTCAGAGGAAACAGTTTGTACAAGAGTAGATTTGGGTTCCTATTTTATGCCAAGGAGAAGGCACCTGTGGGGGCAGGCGAAGGGACCGAGAACAGGAGGTAGGGAATGATGACTCAGGAGAGAAGGTGACCAAGGGTGTACACATACAGCAGGTAGTCTGGGAAAGGAGAAGAAATACTTTATTTTTTTTACAGCTTTATTAATATGTAATTGACACGCAATAACCTGTGTGTATTTAGAGCATGCAATTTGATAAGTGATGACAGATGTACATATGGTGTAACCAACATTTCTGTCACCCCAAAGCTTTCTCCTACCCCTCTACCATCTTTCCTCCTGCTCTCTACCTCATTCCCCAGAGGGACCCCTGGATCTGTTTCTTTCACTATAGCTTAGTTTTTAGTTTCTAGAAGTTTAGAGCAACAAAGTCAAACATTATGTATTCTTTTTGCCTGGCTTCTTTCACTCAGCATCTTTGCTTTTAGATTCCTCTGACTTAGATTGGTAGCTCACTGCTTTTCATTGCCAAGTAGCAAGCCATTGTATGGATGCCCCACAATTTGTTGATCCATTTGCTCGTTGATGGGTATTTTGGTTGTTTTCAGCTTTGGGTCACTACAAATAAGGCTCCTATGAAATTTGGGGAACATTTCAGGTTTGAAATAGAAGAGAAATGTCTTGGTCCATTTGGGCTACTGTAATAAAATCCCACAGACTGGCTTATAAAGAGCAGAAATTTGTTGCTCACAGATCTGGAGGCTGTAAGTCCAAGATCAAGGTACCAGTGTGTCGAGTGGGGGACCCTTCCTGGTTCATAGCTGAGCTTTTTCACTGTGTCCTCACATAGCAGAAGAGGTGAGGGAGCTCTCTGGATCTTTTATAAGAACACTAATCCCATTCATGAAGGCTCCCCCTCATGACCTGATCCCCTCCTAAACACCTCCTAACACCAACCCTGGGGCTTTAGGATTCCAACATGTGAATGGGGGGAAGGCATGAACATTCAGACCACAGCAAGAAGAGTGGATGTGTGTAGAAACTGAGAAATCTCCAAGTCAGGAAATACTGTGAGGAGCTCCTTCTCTGTTGCCTTCACGTTCTCAGGGATGAAGTCACCATCATCAGCTGACAGAGAGAAGCAGAGGAATTTGGGAGCAATAGAATGATTCCCGAATTTGGACAAACATGCTAAGAATCTGGTTCAGATGATTCCTAGGGTGTCTGAGGGGCAATGGGCGCCTCTCTGAGCTGGGAGAGTGTGAATTTGTGGAGGGCTGGTTAGCCGGCCCCTTTGTCTTCTCCAGCAACATTTGGGTAAGACACGTTGTCCCTGGGAGTTTCAAAGCAAGGGGAACCATCCTAAACTGAAGAAGGGGGTTACCTGGCCTCGGGAAGGGGCA